GCAGACAGATGATTTTGTTCAGTTCTGCTCACATCACACCGAGAAGGAGAGTGACAAACTACAGGGAGTTCTCAGCCAGGAGCAATGGAGCTGGAGTGATTGAATTACAGGAGACGATGCAAGAAGCAAAATCTATTTAGTGGTGCTGAAGTGAGAACTGGCGGGCAGGGACAGCTGAGTGCATCAACCTTGGCAAGCAAGAGCAGTTAACAGGGGTGACTTTGGCTGTGTGACCGAGGGCAGAGGGATGGCACAGAGGGACAGAATGTGGCCTGAACTTTAGGACAGCTTGACGGCAAGGCCCTGCCAGGAGTTTCAGCACCCCAAGGGAAGCGGGGAGCTGGCCTGGGCGCTAGGTCCCATCTTAGACAAGAGACTGGAGGCCTCTGAGGCTCTCCCACACCCTGTCACACTCTTCCTCTGCAGCGACTCAGAGCTCGGGGTTGTTTCCCTCCCTCTAGCATCCCTCATTGCCGCCTCCTTCCCATCCCGTAGAGAACACCTGGGGCCCCCATTGCTGTTCTCCTCTCTCTGACTTAAGATCCCTGTTTGTGGGACCAGGGGACCTCAGTGCTGTCCCCTGAGAGTCACCCAGAGCACCCTGTCCCTCTGCTAATGGTGGCTGCCTCCCAGTTCATCTTCTGGGTGATGTTCAGGACTGACCAGTCTAACACACCCAGGAGCGTACAGGAGAGCCAGGTCTGCCTGTCCCCTGCCCTGGGGTAGCGGTGCCCTGACAGTAGGTCCCATCTCCTCTGCTTGGCTCAGGGCTGTTTTCCCTTCTGGCTTCTGTCCAGCTGGGCTCCCTCTTCCTTCCCGCTCTGTGAGATGGGAGGGAAGGTTTGAACTTGGTGCCGGTGCGGTGCCCTTGCTCCCCGAGGCTCCTGGACAGACAGGAGGGAATTAAGCGTGAAGCACCAAGCGCAGCACCACAGTGCCGGGCGAGGACTGGGAGCCTTGGCCACATCCTGGGGTCCTGGCCATAGGTGGGAGGGGTGGGGGAGAGCCAGGGAACTGCAGGAGATTCAAAGTCAAGATCAAAGCGTTTCCCTCTGAAGCCCTAACACTCTCCTTCCCTCCCACTTGCACATAAAAGCACTCTGCCCTCAGCAGGCTCTCCACTGGGGAGGGTGGGTGGAGGAGGGGGTCGCTTTCCCCCTTGCTTTTCCTGTGTTACGAATAACTCTTCCCAGAGGTGAAATGGTGAAAATCCTTCCACCCCTCCTCCCCCATGCCTGCTTCTTGCCCAGATCCAAAGGGACTGAAGCCATTTCAATGACCGTGAGTTCATGGCAGACCTGCCCTGCTTTGGGGTGTTACCAGCTGCTGCTGGCACAGGAGAAATGCAGCCAGCAAAGCCTTTGAAGTGTACAGTAGAAAGACACTGTTAGAGGCAAAGCACAAGGAAAGAGGACTGAAAAGAAAGCAGAGCAGTTTGGCCTACAGGAGGGGGAAAGGCTAATTAAGGCTCAGCGCGTGGAGGAGGAAAAGGCAGAATCATTAAGATATCACAGCAGGAGCCGGTGGTGGGGCTCCATGGAGGTTTAAGCCACACCGAGCCTGGCCTCTGCTGTTTGCTGCCCCTCAGTTCTCCATTCCCACCCATTCCGCTTTGGGGTGGCACGGGAGTGTGGGGGACTCTGTCAGTCAGTTCAGGTTGCTGATCCAGCTGAAAATGAGTTGGTTTAGTTCATATCCCAATACAGACAGAGCTGAAATTCAGGATGGGAGTCTCCATTAGTGTTTCCTTACTAATGATCAGAGAGAGGGCTAAAGCTCTGAAAAAGCTGCAAGCTCCAGTGAGGATAGGCACATCCAAAGAGGCTGGAGACTGGAAACATGGGCAGGAAACGGCAGATTCAATTTTGGAAAGTCCGGGAAGGCGATATTCTTCTGGCAGTGCTTCATTACGCAACATCGCACAAACCCGGCAGCATTAAGAAAGACCTGGGAGGGGAAACCCAAAGGAAAGCAAGCTGCAGAGTCAAGGCTGCAGTTTTGCGTTTCTTTCGGTGGTCACGGCAGCTGCTGCTTGCTTCAGAGAGCTCCCAGGGCCTCTTACCCTCCAAAGGCACTGAAAGCTGGGTTTGTCAGGCTGCTCCCTGCATCCCAGCTACAGGCCAGCTGGCAGAGAGGGACCGGAGGGAAGCGGCAGCACAGGGGGCAGCGGGGACCGTGGGGAGGCAGGGGCTGGGAGGCCGGGGGTGCGGGAGGATCTGGATGGGGGCTTCCCCCACCGGTCCCGGGCAGGGGGAAGATGCATCGGGGCACGGGGAAGATGCATCGGACAGCAGGCAGGGGAGGACGGGGGATGGGTTGTTTCACACCTAGCAAGCAGGAGCAGATGGGGCTGGGGTTAAACACCACAAGGACTTAACTTGCACTGCCACAAGGAGCCCGGGACTTAGCAAGCCGTGCCCGGCTCTCCCTTCCCTGGGTCCACGGCAGACTGTTTAGTGATGGGTTAGCAATGCGGAGGGGGTTTCTCTTGGGTCTGTAGCTAGTCAGGGAGCTGAGATATGGCCCTGCAGTGTAAACACAGCCATACAACCCTGCTCAAGTTGTGAGCCCCCAGTCCTTTCCCAAGCCCTGCCCCCAGGCACACTCTGAAATAGCCATGCTGTTTGCTGGGGGAGAAACGTGAGAAGTAGAGCCAGAGTGCTGTAAAAGATGTAAATGTTTCTGTGCTGAGAGCAGCTCTGAGTGTCTAGGGCACAGCCTCGGCGGGGGGGATGGAGAGGCACCGAGAAGGCACTTCTCTGTTCTTGATCTTGGCTGCCTTAGGAGGGGTTCCAGGAAAAATCCTGGAGCTGATTCACTAAAGGGAGCTCACGGCATGTGCTTTATCAGGTGGTGGTCGTGGGGTGACAGGGACAGGACAAAGGGCAGGGAGGAGGAGGAGGCAGGAGGAAGGGTTTGGGATAGACAGCTGTGGCCATCTCGTCTCTGTGTCAGATCCCCTGGCTCCCTTGGTGCTGGGAAGCCATTTCATCAGCAGGGGAGGGAAGGGGAGGAATATCCCCTTGCCATAAGGTGGGCGAGAGAGCAAAGGAGTCAGTTCAGTCCCAGTAACCACTGACATGGTGACACACGCAATTGCCACAGCTGCAATACTGCACCGTGAGAGGATGTGACTGCCTAGGAGCAACCATCAGCCAGGTCTGATGCAACAGCTGAGAAAAAACTCCCGATCCTTTTGACATAAAAATTAGTCACCGCTGAGGTCAGGTTTTCAGAGAACTGATCTCTGCCCTCTGGAGCTTAACCTTTAGGTATGACTGATAGCATTGTGAATTCCAGCAGTAAAAGAGCTGAGAGAAGGGAGATGAGGGCAAGGAGAAAGGGACACCAACTGAGGAAACAGGCTGATGCGCCTTCTTTGCTCCCTGAGTGTGTATACTCCGATTTTGTGTTTTGAAGTGCCTGGACCCATGAGCAGATAGCAGCAGAGCAAAGACGAGGGAGACAAGGCTGAGGGAGAAGAAAGAGAGGGCTGGGAGGTGGGGAACCGCCAGAAGAACGATGCTACTTGGCGTACGGGAAGAGGGACCTAGGGGGTATGTGCAGAAGCCCAAAGCCTCTGCAGAAGCAGCAGCATAAACAGGATGGTAGGTGTGACGGGTTCTTGAGGAAGCAAAGGACACCAGCTCGTAGGATCCCTCATCTCTTATCATCAGACTTGTCCAGAAATTGGCTTGTGCTGAAACATTTCATAACCCAGAGTTCAGGTGACTATCCAAACCTGGAAAAAGAAAATAGTTGGTTTCTGTATTAAACTTGGCGTCGCTGAGAAGCCAGAGAGGGTCAATTCACTGACACAGCCCACTGCTGCTTTCTTGAAGTCCCTCTCCACCCCCGGCCAGGTTTTCGCTCTGCCCTGCTCCCTGGGGGCGCACACACGGCCACCGCCTCATGCTGGGGACCGCTGCCTTACCCCGAGGTCCCCGCGTGAGAAATCCCCCGCAGACAGCGCCCAGCACAAGTTTCCACCTCCTTTCGAAGCCACCCGAAACTTCACCGCCTGCCCCAAAATAACCCGAACGCGCGGGAACCAGCCCCGCTCCTCCCTTCCCGTGTCCCCCGGGGCAAGGGGGCAGTGCCCGCTGCCCACCGGGCCGTCCCTCAGCCTCTGCGGCCCCCGGAGGGAGCAGCTCCCGCTTGCCCGGCTCCGTCCTCCGGAGCCGGGCGGCAGGGGCCCCTTTTTCCCCCCC